GGAGTAATGATGTCCATTTGAAGATTAAGGTGCATCTGTTTCGGGCCATGGTCTTTCTAATCACTTGCTGTGCATCTAAAAGCTGGACAGTGAATAAGAACGACAAAAGAATTGATGCCCTTGAGCTGTATTGGAGAAGAGGATTGAATATTCCATGGACTGCCAAAATAACGAAGAAGCCTTAGAGAAAGTGCAGTTAGAGTGTTCCTTGGAGGCAAAGATGATAAAGCTTCATTACACATACTTTGGGCATGTTGTGAGGAGAGGCTTTTAGTCTATGAAAATAGACAAGGATAGAACAGATACAATTATGCAGGTAATTCCAAAATCTCAGTATTTGTCACTGGACAGACACAGATAAGGGCTAAAAGTCTATGGAGAGGACTTCTTCCCTAAATGGGATATCCAATGTCCATCAAATCTTAAGAACTTGTAGAAACTTGTCCCATCCCAGGAACAGTTATAAGATTTCTCTGTCCTGTGACCCTCTGAGGTCTAACAGAATCATATTGGCATTAGTTTAAAAGCTGGCTTTTCTGGCCATTATATTAGCCCCTGCTGGTCTCTAGCTACCTTTGCTGAAAACATGGTCTTACAAATCATCAACAGTTGTTGGACTAGTATAAGAGAGTTTTTCACACTGTAAAGAAAGATGTTGGAGAAGGTGGTGGAGAAAATGTGAAAAGAAATATGACACTGGTGTAAAGAGACTTTGGCAAGGTATAACCAGAGGAGCCTTGAGATAGAGGCTACAGTTAAAATTTTTATTGCTGGACAACTAGGGGAAAAGGTGATTTGTAACTGCTCTGAGACAGTTTTCTGGATGATTAAAGAAATCAGAGGCTTCTTGCATTTGTGTTACTGAAATTAATCTGGACTTTTCACTAATTGAGGAATTGTGCTGTGATCTGGTTTGGGATTTATGGACTAAACCTGGACTTACACTGAGATATTCTTTGCCTCCTCCATTCTCCAACCTATTTCCTAATAAACACAACTGTGAGTAAAATCTGTGAGTCAACAATGAATATCAGATTTACATGATTGGTAGAAAGAGATGCAGGAGCTTGGGGGGGGGGTGTCATGTCTGAAGGTATCTGTTCAAAACGATATATAATATTGATGGATATAGTTCCCCTTTACAAAGTGGTTAGAAATCAGAATTTGCAACTCACGTTGCATCATCTATATGCTTTACAGTTGTTGGTTTTTAAAAATTTATTAATTTCAATGAAAATTTACAGAGACTTTGGATTTCCATTCATTCATTGCTGCACTTTTTTCCCCTCCCAACCCTCTCCCCTAGTACACTACCCTTTTGGAAAAGTAAAATTCTTTCATTGTTTTACAATCCATCCTCCCAGGTCCACTCCACCATGTAGCCTTCGCTCTGGACTCCTGTCATGACAAAAATACCTAATCACATATCCCTTTAAACAGTTTTCTTCCTCATCTGTTTCAATGCAGTATACATTTTTAATCCATCTTTCTCAGTCTCCCCCGAATCCCGAGGTGAGTCCTGTTTTACAACAGTGGGACCATGCAGTATTTGTCCTTTTGTGACGGATATACTTCACTCAGCATAATGTCCCCCAGGGTCACCCATTTTGAATAATATTGCATGAGTTCCTTGTGTTTCAATGCAGCGTCATATTCCATTGTGTGACTATACCACAGCTTCTCTATCCATTTGTTTGTTGATGGGCACGTAGGTTGTTTCCAACTCCTTGCTATTGTGAACAAAGCTGCAATAAACATGGGTGTGCATATATCTGCATGGATGTCAGTTTGGTCTCTTTGGGGTATATTCCCAATAGTGGAATTGCTGGGTCAAATAGTATCTCTATTTGCAACTTTTTGAGAAAGTGCCATACTGCCTTTCACAGTGGTTGCACCATTTTACACTCCCACCAACTGTGAATAAGGGTTCCAATTTCTCCACAACCTCGCCAGCATTTGTTGCTTGCTGTTCTATTTTGCTATTCTTACTGGGGTGAGATGATATCTCATAGTTGTTTTCATTTGCATCTTTCTTAGAGCTAGGTATTTTGAACATTTCTTCATGTGCTTGTTAGCCATCTGAATGTCTTTGGTGAAGTGTATGTTCATATCCTGTGCCCATTTTTCTATTGGATTATTTACCTTTACCTTGTTGTGGTGTACAGCTGTTCTTATAAATGAAATTGTTTTCATAAGGGACATTCATAAGGTTTCACTCTTATGTGGACCTGTGGACCCAGTGGTGTCTACAAAAGCTTGAACTGTCAATTAAACTTTTCTCTGCGAGAACATCTATTTGGTTTGTTGCCTGTGTGGACATGCCGTCTATTTAAGGTGTACCTTTGAATGATACTTTTCAAAGAGGACATTTACAGGGTTTTACTGCTGTGTGGACATGTTGGTGTATATTAAATGTGGACTTGTACACAAAGTTTTCACAGAGGTGACATTTACAAGATTTCTGTCCTGCGCAGACTTGCTGGGGTCTATTAAAGTAAACCTCTGAATGAAACTAATTTCACAGACGAGACATTAAAAGGGTTTCTCTCCTGTGGATTTTCTCATGGTAGTGTAATCCAAAAAAATTACTGAAGCCTTTCCCACAATGATCCTATTTGCAAGGCTTCTCTCTCTGCAGCACTCACAACAGATGCTGCTGCTAAATTCACACTTAAATTCCATTTTAGTAATGATGCCTCAGGAAGCTGCCAATGACATACAACCTAATGCATTTCCTCTATGCCACATCACCTGACTATAAGTTTCTTGATCCTGCCCATCTGTCTCCTGGACTACTGTTTTGGTCACCCAGGTTGGAGAGGTATTTCTGGTTTTCCCCACATGATGTTTCATGTTTCTTTCCTGGTGGAGCCTGAGATTAAGGGACACAACTGTCCTGGTAAAACTTTGTTCAGTGGTGATGTCAGCCACCTTAGCTCCTACATTCTTATTCTTGTATTTGCTGCTACTACTGATAGCAGAAACCAAGGAATTTTTAGTGCTGCTCTTTATCACTCATCATTTCTTTATGCATCCAATTAGCCAGCTTCTTAGGAGTTAGGTCCCCTAATTTCATATCCTGTGTGGAACTTTTGCTTTCAATAACTGACTTCAATATGACAGTTGCATTAAATCATGGATCCTCCAAGTTTCCCAGCCACAGACCAAAAGTTTCTCATTGTCTTGTTTCCCTCTTCTACTTCAAAGAGTACTTTTTACTCTTTTTAACTTTTTACTTAAGAGTCTGGATCTTTGTAGTGCACCCAGTACTATGAGACCAATTGTAGTCATAATTCATTCTGCAGAGCAGGTACAAGATGTACTGAGTCAACATTGGCCCAAATGGTTGATATGCTGTAAAACTCCATGATTTCAAATACCAACAGCCACCTCCTTTGTTCCCTTCCCTAACTCCTCTATGTCCATTGGGTTCTGTGGTTCACTGAAGGTCTCCCAGAGGCTCAGACCCATCTGGGAAATGATTCATGTGACTGTAGGTATGGAGGCCAGTTTTGCAGAGACTTGTTAGTACTGTAGACAATCAGTTAAAGGTAGGTGCCCCATAAAGAGAGCTAGTACTCAGGTCCCTTGAACTTTTATATAAGCCTCTAGTAGGGTGGGACTTATATCCCATCCTAATGCTCTCTCCTCAATAAAATAAATGCTTCAGCACAAAATATACAGTTAACCATTGGTTTGGAAAGACATTTTGAATGATAAACCTTAGACACTACAGAGTGGATCATAACCAATTATGGCTAACATTGGGAAGAAAGGGAATCCAGAACATTTAATTGTGCTCTTTAGAAACTGCAAGAACACTTCACAAGTTGACCTAAGAAATTATATCTTCTTGCCAAACCTGAGTTGGCACCTGCTAACTTTTCTAATAAACCCCCTAACAATGAATAGGGTTCTGAGAAGTGTGTATAGCTATTGCAATAGACTTCGAGCCCTGGAGAGCAATAGGCCTTGTGTTGGAATTAGAAGTAGGTGCAGGAGCGTTCATGTCTGAACTTATGAGAATTGGTTTGTGTTGTGTATACTCTTCATGGGGACACTGACACATTGCAAATTTAATCAAAGTCAGAAATGACTTTTCATGCTGACCTTGTTCTCTCACTACCCACATTTACGGAGTGCACTGGAGACATTTTCTCAGCAACCAACCACATTTAGGGAGTAGGCCAACTACAGGCCAACTCCCATTTGGGGTCTTCAGTGAGAAAACACATTTTCAATCTGAATCAACTTAAGAGTGAACATTTAAGACACAAAAGAGATGAGGAGTGAATCTACTGAATTTATTTCAAGAAAGAACACATCAAGTTCACATTATACTCATGTGTCAAGGAGCACACATGAGCGCCCTAGGCCTCTATCAGGGCTTGCGCTTCAAATCATAAAGACATGCTCTGTAATTCTAATTGCAAAAAGCTGAGCTGTTCATTCCTGTGAACAGTAATTACAGCTGCTGTTAAAAGACATTATATAAGCATGAAGTACCTACTAAGAGCCCAAACTAATTTACAAGTTCAAATATAATTGTAGGTTCTTCCTTTCCAATCCATGAAAATAAACAGAAATACAACAAATGTCATTCTGCCGGTGATTCAAAAGTTTAGTATTTGTCACTGGACTGACAAACAAACAAGGGTTAAAAGAGTCTGGCTATTGAGAAGATTTCTTCCCCAGATGGGATCTCAGATGTTTATCAAAACTTAAACTCCTGCTGAAACTTTTCCCACAGCAGGAACATTTAAAAGGTTTCTCTGTGAAGTGGGTCCTCTGATGTCTAATAACGTTAGATTTCTGAATGAAATTCTTTTCGCAGAGGGGGCATTTATAGGGTTTCTCTCCTGTGTGAACTCGATGGTGTCTAAAAAAAGTTGAGCTGTCAATGAAACTTTTTTCACAGAAAGAACACTTATAGGGTTTCTCTCCTGTGTGAATCCACTGGTGTCTATTAAAGGTAGACCTCCAAAAGAAACTCTTTTCACAGAGAGCACACTTATAGGGTTTCTCTCCTGTGTGGACACGCTGGTGTGCATTAAAGGCTGACCTGTGTTTGAAACTCTTTTCACAGAGAGGACATTTATAAGGTTTCTCTCCTGTGTGGACGCTCTGGTGCTTACCAAAGTTGGACTTGTGACTAAAAGTCTTTTCACAGAAGGAACATTTATAGGGCTGCTCTCCTGAGTGGATTTTCTCATGGTGGCGCAATCCAGAATAGTTACTGAAGCCTTTCCCACAATGATCACACTTGCAAGGCTTCTCTCCGGTGCAGATTCTCTGATGCCTTGCAAAGTCTGGGTTTTGCAGAAAGTCTTTCTTGCAGGAGGGGCACTGAACGTACATTTTTTCAGTATGAGTTCTCTGGTGAAGCACAAGCTGAGACTTATGGAAGGTTTTCCCACATTCTGTGGCCTGTTTGAGCTGGTCCTTCTGGGGGGCCTCTTGCTTCTCCTTGAGCCACAGCACAGAGAGGTCTTCTGGGTGAGAATCAGGCAAATGCTGGTCCAGCTGTTTCCCAGAAACTCTTTCCTGAGAAGAGAGCTGCTCCCCTTTCTCCTCACCTTGGAGGTGTCCCTCTATCTTAGGGAGATCATCTCCTTCTCCAAAGCATCTCTGTTCATTCTCACCAAAGAAGCCACTCAAAGACCCCTGAGGCGGGGCCTCTCCTGAGATGTGACAAGGGGCATCCGGAGACTCCTGATCCCAGCAGGTTTCCACGTTTAGGTTCTCTTTGCTTTTATCCTGTCTGTTTCCTAAAAGAAGAAAGAAGATTTTAAATACTGCAGCACATTTTACATATTTTCTCCTTTCTATGCCAACTAAAGGAGCATCAGTAAACAGAAATTATTTTATCAAGAAGTCATCAATCAACAAAGGGTGTAAAAACCAGCACCCATATTGAAGGTCTGATACTACATTTGCTTGCCCTGCATTCCAGATTAAGTTTTTCAACCTTGAACTGAGGAGAATTTTGGTGCATCAAAATCAGGGCACATAAGATATTTATTGGCCCCTCCACAAATAACCAGAGCATAGGTTTCTTAAGATGCAGGTGGAAAGAGTATGCACACACTGGCTTTTTTTCTTATTAAATGACTGGTCTTACATGGCTTTATGTTAAAGAGAATCATCACAAACAATTTTTGAAGAGGCACAAAAGTATACAGAAGAAAACCAAAACTAACCTCAATCACATCCTCAGAAATAACTATAGTAACATTTCCTTCCTGCCTTTATTTAAAAAAATGTCACCTTTCCTTTTCTCTCACCTAACTGGAATTGTACTGCAAGTAACAGTTCTTGTCAAGCTTGAATCAATAGAAAGTAAATATGGTATTTGTAAGTTTTATAGACATTCTCCTATTTACACATAATCAAACAATTAATCAAATGCTGCTTATCATCTTACCATCAGGAAGCTTTACTGTTGTGATGCTATGGCATACAAGTGAATACTTTGGCCTGTGGTTTAATCCAGCATCCATCTCTTTTATTAACTTCCAGAAAACATTAAGTATATTTCTATCCTAACTCTGGTTTGGGTTAGCATCACTACAGAATGATGTACATTTTCGATTTTTGTTTTGGCGGTAGAACTCCTAGTCATACACTTCTACCCATTCTTTTATTCCGGGAGATCTAAAGAAGCCATGTCACTTTTTCTTCCAGGGTAACATTGTTTTCTCAATAATTAGGCCTGAACTAATGAATCCTCAAATTTCTTTTAAATGGCAAAAGTGTTTTCTCCTGCCTTAAAAGTGTTTATAAATATCCTTTTTTAAGGGTTGAATGATCCATCATGGAAATGCGCTACAAAGAAATTGTTTATTAATTTTCCAACTGTAAAAACTTAAATTCTTGTGTTTTGACTAGTATAAATCATTCTATAATAAGCCATTTTTCTTCAGTCTTTCTCTGCACTTACAATAATTACTTTAAGCAAGGTTCTTGCCTGTTATGACTGTGTCCCCACACAAGCATGGTAAAGTGCTAGGTACCAGTTACCAACTGCTGTGCACTTTACTCCAACACACGATGCCCTACATGTCAGGATAAACTGTGCTCCACAAGGTTTTCAGTGGTTGAGTTTCTCACAAGGTAACTAGGTGCTTTTCAGAGGCCCTGTTTCGTGGACTCCTGTCTGAACTTTCAGTTGCAGCTGAGTGTTATAATAGTTCCCACTATTCAATGCTTCAAACTCCACATATTCACTGTCAGCCAATTTTTGGAACAACTGTGCCATCTTTTGGCACAAGTGTTCACTAGATAAGTACTAAGGGTTTTAAAATATTTGCAGTTTGGTTGTATATTTGTGTTTTAAATATCTGCATTTTAATTAAGTGAAAATCTATTTTTCAGTTTTAAATTTTAACTCCTTAAGCATTTAAATAGGAAACTATTGTTTACTTTTCATGCTTCAAGACTCTTCCTAAGTTATTCATTAAAAAGGAATTTTTTAAACAACTTTAACTATTTCCATATTAAATACAAATAATCCATAATCTGTGAGATTCCAGAAAGTTTTCTACCAATTCATGTAACTTTGAAGTTATTTTTTGTGCAAGTAGTCTTGATTTTATTTTAAATAGAGAACCTTAAGCTTTTCCTTAATTATTTCTGTTGCTTATATATTTAATATTTATAGCTTATATTGATATTGTTTTCCTCATTCAACCATCAATTTAATACACTCTAAACTTTTAAAATTTTCATATGTTTTATCTTTTAGTATATTTTCATCTTATTGTGGTTTCTTGGTGGTGATGTTGTCTATCGTCTAGTTTACTCCTACTGTAATTAACCCCAAGTGACAGCAAAACTGTCCTAAAGAGTTTGCTTGGCTGCAGTATTTAAGGTAGTGGATCATTAGGTCTCTCACACAGAGCTGCTGAAGAGGTTCAACACATCAACTCTTGAGTTGTGGCATCAGGGTTCCTTATTCTGGGATAAAATTCAACTCATTACCAGAGTAGGAACTGACTCATGGGTGATCCCCAGATATTCAGAAGCTATTATTCACAGGGGAGCAGACTGTCCATCTTTTTCCCTTTGAACTGGTTTCTAACTGTTTGCCAGCACATTACGACTCCATAGTGAGATGATTCCTCATCTGTTAAATACATGTGTTAATAACTCTAGAAACAGTGATGAGGTGATCCACCATCAATGTCACAATTAAGCTCACTCATCTGCGGCTAGTTATAACTTAATAACACCAAAGGCTAACCCTGTCAATCACACCTGCCTTAACAAGTGACGGTCAGAAATGTCTCAGTACCAATGGAAGCTGACTCACCACTGTAAGTGGGTGCTGGGATCTCCTCAGTGGCATGAAGAGGGAGTCCTGCCAGCTCTTCCCCATACTCTGCAGAATTAGCTGGGTCAGGTTTGGGACTGGAAGTGCCTGGCACAGAAAGAGATCAGCTTGTGAGCCTGTGTGAGCAGGGAACACTGAGCATGCATACTGTGTTTTTTAAAGTATCCTCCTACCTAAACATGAAGGGACTTATGAAGGCCCTAGATCCCACAACAGGTTACTTAATCTTAGAAAGACACGGAAAACCCTCCAGATCCTTTTCCCATCAGATCTGAACACTGGTCTAGGTGGTTGTAAAAAGAGGCAAAGTAACTGAAACTGACGCTTGTGCTGCTTGTAGCATGAGAGTTCGTATCAAACAATAATACTGTATTCACTCAAGTTGTTTCCACTACATTTGGGTGCTGAAAAGATGAATAAATGAGTGAGGATTATTTGGGGTTGAAATGGATTTTATATCTTTGTCTCTTGATTAAAAGCATTCTCTTCTTAAAAATATAAAAAGGACATGGGACAAGTCAGACTAGAATTCACAAGAGACCAGGAGATAATGCCGAAAAGGAGGAAAAGCAGAGTCTGAGAAGGTAGACAGAAGGGTCGACAGACCACCTGTGAGGCTGGGGCTTAGGTCAAGACTGAAAAGCATCCTCATTTGAAAGAGGCAGTATTGTCTGGCGGAAAAGAGCCTGGACTCCAAGACAGCTACAGTGAGTTTCATCCTGACTCAGCACTTCGGAGCATAGAACAGGGAGTCAGGAACTTGATCTGACACTTTCATCATGTTTAATACGGGATGACATTTCCACTTCTTAGGGATGATGTGATGATTAAAGGTGCACCCACTGGAGCTTCAAGTATTGTATACAAGGAAGCTCCTGCTATTCCTCTGCTAACCTCTACTCACCCTAGTTCCCAAATGTGTAACTAATCATTTCTTACCCTGAGAACTTCAAGCTAAATTTGTGTCTATGAAAGAATATAAATATCGCTTAAGAATTCCTAGCTGTTCCACCTTCTTCCACTTGGTAAGCCATGCCCTCACCTCCTGAGACCATTTTCCCATAGGTCTCCAGCATGACGTTCCAGTAGTGCTCCTTCTGAGTAGAATCCAGGTGTCTCCACTGTTCCTGGAAAAAATATAATGCTATGGCCTTAAACATGGCTCCAAAGGAAAGTAGACTGATCCTACCTAGAGGAAAAGTGAGAAGAATGAATGTGCCAATGGCATTTAAGCATCAGAAGATCTGAGAAACCCTGGGAGAGAGATTAATGGAGGAAGACACCAAGTGTAAAACTATAGTCCCTGCTGCAATATTTCTTGTCCTGAGTGGAAAACATTGAGGTTTTAACTTCTATGTGTATGTTTTAAACCTTTGTATCCCTCTAAGGATAAACTCTTCATGTTGAATGGAGAACACACCAGAAGATAGGTTTTTCAACTTTTCCACATTCTTTTTCACTCTCTCAATTATTTAGCGTAAGAAGAGACTGACATCTCCAATACTTAAGTGAAATCTAGAAATTCAAGGGAGAAAACAAATGAGAAAGGAATTTGTTGGCAGTGCCGATTTGTAAAAGAGAATAATCAACACTGAAGTTGACTGTGTTTAAGACCCATCCAGAGCCCACACTGGTGTATTGAGAGAAAGGGCAACACACTACTGTAATCTCCTAAGAATTGAGGTTAGGATGTAATGCTCATTCAATGGATGAGTTGTCATGAATAAGGAAGCTTCCTATGTCATCTAAAGGAAAGCTCTCTGGTGGCTTAGTGGTGGCGAATTGCACTGCCAACTCAAAGGTCTCCAGTTCAAATCTACTAGCTGTTCTGTAGGAGAAAGGTGGGCAAATCCTCCCATGGGACTTACTGACTCTGAAAACCCAGTAAAGGGTCAGCTATTTATGAATTGGTCCAACTAGATGTTTTACACCAACAATAAATGGAAGTAGAGGGAGCTCCGGTGGCCTGCTCTGTGGGGAACTGTACTGCTAAGCCAGAGGTGGTGCTTCTCTGGTGCTTCAAATCCACCAGCAACTCCAAAGGAGAAAGATGAGGAGTTATTTTAGTTTCCAAAAATCTACTGTAGAGTTAGCTGTGAGTCAGCTCCAACTCAACAACAGTGAGTTTGGGTACTGACTGTGCAGAGACTCAAAAGAGGAAGTCCTACTACCTTCTGATTCTATGACCTTCAACAAGTTGTTAAATTTTTCTGAGCCTTAATTTCTCATCAAGAATGGGAGAAAAATCAGGTTTACAGATCCCTCAGACTGCATTATGTGCTTTATGAAATACTAAATACATTTCATTCAAAGTATTTTTCAGGTTTTTGTTGTTTTTAATTGTCAAGTCCACTACATCTCATAGTGATTCTACAAATCAAGAGGGAACTGGAGGAAAGAGGGAGAATTGAACAAATAAAGGCCTCAAAATTTTCCTAAGTGCCTTAGAACTATAAACTTTCATCCAAGCTGAATGAAGCCCAGGCACAAAAAACATAAATATAGTGCTTTCCAGGTCCACTCTAATCAATCTTGTAAAACAGTGAAAAAGTGGTAAAATAGCTAAAGAACCAAGTAAAACACATCATGTGTAGAACACGAGAACATAGGGTATGATTCCATTTTATGTAAAATACTAGAAAATGCAAACTAATCTACGGTAAGAAAAAGCAGATCAATAGCTGCCTAGAAAGGGAAGGGCAAAGGCAGAGACAGGTAAGAGAGAGGGCTTATAAAAACACAAGAGGAAATGTATGGGTGGTGCACATGCTTATCATAGTTAGAGCTAAAACCAGCAAACGGCTTTAACAGAAATTTATTCTGTACCAGTTTAGGAAGCAGAAAGTTCACATTGAGGGCACAAGCACTACAAGGTTTTCCTCTGTTAGCTCTGGGAAAAGACCTCCTCCCTATTCAACTTGTGTGGGCCAGGACTTCCTTGGTGATGTACCTGAGTCTCAGCCACTCTTTATCTTAGGTATGTAAGGTTCTCAGCACAGGACCCAGATCTCACGTATACTCTACACTCCTGGCTCTTCTTGGTGTTAGTAAAGCTCTCCTTCTCTAACTGGCTTCCTTCTCCTTTTCTCTCTCAACTCATGAGTGTTGTGGCTTCGAAGTAAGGTTTGTCTCATCACACAGGTTTTCCACTTTTTTTCCAGGGCCTAGATTCCCCGATCTAAATGCCAATTAGAAAAAACAGTCTGCCTTGAGAAGACCTGAGAGAAATAATGAAACTCAAGTTTCTCTACATGTGTTTTATTCCGGTTATCCTAGTGAGGCTTGCTCCTTCACTGCACTTCTGAGAATGCACCTACTTTCCATCCTCCTGAGTACTGGTGAATGCTCAAAATTGGTTCAGAGGGAAGAAAACGAGAGAAACTTTGCTCACCTGAGATGATGCTTGGAGAAGTGAGCCTCCAGAGTCCTGGTCGTTAATGAGTCTTTCCTCTGGTGGGGCAAGAAGCTGGGGCGCAGTCATCACTGAAGTGAGAAACAGGGAGTGTTAAGAATCTAGATATCCTCCTCAGTCATTCCCCACAGGGCATTGATAAAAAAATAAAAAACTCTAACACCAGAAAAAGCATGGCAAATTAGAACTAATACTTGCATACACAATTCAAGATTTGTATGGAAGCTCGGAATGACAAAGCAAAATATTACAATTAAATGTGCGAGGAGCTAGAGTCAGAAAATCAAAAGGGCCGAACTCGCTCAGCATTTCTTAAGCTCAAGGAACTGAAGAACAAAT